CGCCTGAGTCCATCTGACCTCAGTCCGTCTGACCAAGTCCTCCTATGCAACCCCGCTTCACCAGCCGCTGGTTTCGCCCCTTACCAGTCAGGCTGAAGAATTTGTTATTAACGGACTTCCGAAAAGTTCAATTTTCCGTGTTCTGGCTGTGTTTTCTGTTGCTAATATTTAGTTGTCTCTAAACTTGGTTGTGTGAGAAGGCACGGCACATCCACCTATGCCTCCATCTTGGCGGAAGTCCCAGATTGATTTTTAAAGATACTCTGTATATGCTCGCTTAGGCAGCACATATACTAAAATTAAAGATATTTGTCAGCAGTGATATGAAATTTTCTGCTTTTTAAAAAATACTATATGCTCTAAAGAAAACACATCTATAGGCTAAAATACTACCCAAGGGTCATGACATACAGAATAAAGGCAATTCATTATAAAGCACAGAACCTAGTCCACCATTAGGGACACCTGAACATTCAAAACCATGAAATCACAACCATCCATTCCTTTCAGAAGTCTTGTGAATCCTTATTACATACAAACTTGATGTAATATATAAAGGACATACATCATCTATATCCTAGGACTCAATGGTCTAGGGCATTCTTAAACCAGGAATTTCTTTGCAAGACACCCTCCCACGCATCCCTCAGGGCTTCTCTAGTGACTGATCACTCTCATCCCCCCAATCTTGCTTTGCTCCATAGCACTTACACAATTCACTAAATGAAAAGATGGAACAACAGATTCCTTGTACCTACTGCTAGATGAGACCATTACATAATCCAAGTCACTCTCATTCCCCCAATCTTGCTTTGCTCCATAGCACTTACACAATTCACTGAATGAAAAGATGGATCAACAGATTCCTTGTAGCTACTGCTAGACGAGACCATTACATAATCCACTGCAATGTACTTAGAAGGTGAGGGCTAAAAAGATGATAAGGCACCAGATAATGGCTGCTCTAAACCACAAAACTGGATCACTTGAGTGGTACCTGAGCTCTGAAAGGCATCAATGTGGCCACAGTCATTCCTAATCCTTACTCCTGGGATTCTTAATTTGAACAACATGATTTCTAAGGTATTTTCCAGTTCTCACTTGTTAGGGTTTAGACCACTTCATTTCTAAAGTAGAAGGTAGTCAGGAAAATAGGAGATAGTCAAGAGGTAATAGGAGGTAAGTCAGGGTCTTAGAAATTATTCATGAGCTCAACTTAAGCAATTTATTTTTATCTTTACATGGTTAAAATATATCAAGCCATGCAAGAAATTCATCTTGAAGCTCCTTTTATAGCAATCCATGTCTCTGTTCATAAAATGGTAGTACAGAGAATATTACTTTTTCAGTTTTGTCATTTATTTTCTTGTTTACCATGTAGTAATGTGCTGCTTATTTATGATTCCTAGCAATATTATTTGATATAGTAAAACTAATTCCCCAATATTAACCTCATAGTTTTTAAAATATATTTTGATTATGCCATTACAGTTGTCCTATTCCCCCCCTTCATTCCACTCCACCCTGCACACCCCTCCCCCACCATTGCCCCCCTTTGGTTTATGTCCACGTGTCTCAAAGTTCTTTAGATTCTGTATTTCCCATACTATTCTTGCCCTCCCCCTATCTATTTTCTACCTACCATTTATGCTACTTATTTTCTGTACCTTCTCCCCCCTTCTCCTCCTCCCACTCCTGTTGCTAACTCTCCATGTGATCTTCATTTCTATGGTTTCACTCCTAATCTAGCTGTTCTCTTAGTTTGCTTTTGTTTTAGGTGTGGTTGTTAATAACTATGAGTTTGCTGTCCTTTCACTGTTCATATTTTTATCTTCTTTTTCTTAGAGAAGTCCCTTTAACATTTCATATAATAAGGGCTTGGTAATGATGAACTCCTTGAACTTGACCTTATCTGAGAAGCACTTTATCTGCCCTTCCATTCTAAATGAAAGCTTTGCTGGATAGATCAATCTTCGATGTAGGTCTTTGGATTTCATGACTTGGAATACCTCTTTCTAGCCCCTTCTTGCATGTAAGGTCTCTTTTGAGAAATCCGCTGACAGTCTGATGGGAACTCCTTTGTAGGTGACTGTCCCTTTATCTCTTGCTGCTTCTAGGATTCTCTCCTTCATATTAATCTTGGCTAATGTAATGATGATGTGCCTTGGTGTGTTCCTTCTTGGGTCCCACTTCTTTGGGACTCTTTGAGCTTCCTGGATTTCCTGGAAGTCTATTGCCTTTGCCAGATTGGGGAAGTTCTCCTTTATTATTTGTTCAAATAAGTTTTCCACTCCTGGCTGTTCCCCCTCCCCTTCTGGTACCCCTATAATTCAGATGTTGGAGCGTTTAAAGATGTCCTAAAGGTTCCTAAGCCTCTCCTCATTTTTTTGAATTCTTGTTTCTTCATTCTTTTCTGTTTGGTCATTTTTTTCTTCCTTCTGGTCCACTCTCTTGATTTGAGTCCCAGTTTCCTTTCCATCACTATTGGTTTCCTGTGCATTGCCCTTCATTTCACTTAGTTTAGCCTTCATTTGTTCCTGTAATTTGTGACGAAAATCAACCAGTTCTGTGAGCATCCTAATCACCAGTGTTTTGAACTGTGCATCTGAAAGGTTGGCTATTTCTTGGTCACTTAGAGTTATTGGCTCTGGGGTTTTGAGTTCTTCTTGAGCCATGCTTTGGTCTGTTCATGCCTGTTACGTATCAGGGGCAGAGCCCTACGTGTTCTCTAGGGTGGGGCAACTCAGTTGCTGGGTTGTGACATTGTATATGGGGGTGGGATCAGAGAGGGGCAATAGCAGTCCCCTCTGCTGCTTCCCACCTTAGGGGCCTGCACGGTCTGTCTCACTGCTCACTCCTTCGCCTGGTTTATCCATGCAGGAATGTGTGACTGTGGTCAGGCTGCCACCTTGTGCCCTCACTGGGTCTGCCCATCACAACCCCACACCTGGCAGCTGCCAACCACCGCCCGCATACCTGGGTCATTCTGGCCCAGTTTTCCTGCGCAACCCTGCTCCACCAGTTGCTGGCTTCACCCCTCACACCAGTCTGGCTGAACAGTTTATTGTTGTCGGACTTCCATATAGTTCAATTTTCTGTGTTTTGGTTGTGTTTTTGTTACTAAAACTTTGTTGTCTTTAAACTTGATTGTGCGAAGAGGCACAGTGTTTACACCTATGCCACCATCTTGGCCGGAAGTTCTTAACCTCATAATTTTTTAAATACAGCAATTTGTACCTAACAAAAATTCATACATGAGCATCAGATAATAAAGAATGTTCAAATGTTCATAGCTGTGCTACAAATGGGAATTAACCTAGTAGACTCTATATAAAATATATAATCTGTGGTGTATTAACAGAATACAATACAATAATGAAGATGAATATATTATTGTTAACCAAAAGGACTTAGATGGATCTCAAAAACATAAGGTTGAATGAAGAAAGCCAGACACAAAAGAGAATGTACTGTAAGAATGATCCATTTATGTGAAGTTCATAAAATAGGCTATGGTGATTGAGGTCAGGCAAGGTCCCCTCTGGAGAGAGTGATTATGGGGAGGGCTCTGGGAGCACAGGGATTACTTTAGTTTGTGAAAATTAATTGATTCTGGAGGAAGACAAGCTCAGGGCTCACAAGTAAGGAGAAGAGAAAGAGGCTACCTCACTTTTTGTGAGGTTTTTCTAAAGCGAGGGAAAAATTGCACTTGCTACATCATATGAACACACCTTTAGAAAAACATCAATTTTCTAAACCATAGGTTTTCCTAAAGGTATGTTCATATGATGTGTTCATATTTTTGTAATATATACTTCAATTAAAAGTTAAATAATGAAACATTGAGCAAAACAAATACAATTTTTCCCAAGAGCTTCCATTTACAATTGCTACTCTGATGAAACTCAGGTTAATAAAGTCCAGTTCAACTTTCAAGATGTCCCAGTTTATCAAGGTAACACATGTACCTTGTTTTGAACTAAACATAACTGAATAAATGAGAATGTGAGCATTCTAACCAAACAGGAGGACTGCCACCCTTTAGGTGCTGCAGGCCTGAAGTTTTTTGGGCCCAGTGTAGGAAACTGTCTACCTCTAATTCCAAGGAAGGGTATTTTATCTGGGTGGGGAATGGCCACCTGCCCATTTGAGGCACAGTACTCTCTCTATAGTTATGGCTGCCATTTCTCTGGGAGGAGGGAAAGGACAGTCAAAATATTTATGGCAGTAAAGAATAAGTCCTGCTGACTAAAAATGCACTCTGTAAAGAGGCTAGCCACAACATCTGAAAATCAGGAGACTCACTGGCATCACCTAGCACTAGTCAGTCTTTCTCACCAGACTTAGGAAAATGTCCTCTCTTGAAGGATGTCTTATTTGATGTAGGAATTGGGCATTCTCTCAGGAGTAAATGGGTAAGGGTATGCTAACAATGACTTCCTTCTCAGCAAATGGTGTCTTTCTGCTCCAGGGGTCCTCCCTAAAAACTGTGTGGTCACAGCTAATACTCTCTTGAAATGGGAAAGTCCAACCATGGCATATAGGCTGAGAAACCGGAGGCATTACATAGGGTCTGTTCCTCAGCTCCCCTACCATGCCTAGAGCAGGTCTAAAAACTTTTAAAAAATATATTGAGAAGCATGCTTTATGTAATAGCTTCAGTCACCAGAAGAAAACAACAGCATGGCTCCTGTCTCTGATACTTCTAGAGTTTGGATTTGTACTTCAATAACGTTCATACACTTTACTAAGAATGATAAATATTTTGTTGGTCTATATAAGGTGAATACTTTTTAAATTTATAATTTATAAGTATTCATTCATTTAAGAATTTCTTGAAGTATTTTTTCTAAGCAGGTATTTCTTGAATGACTATCACTGTATTTTCAATGGCCAGTTGCCATGTATTATTAAACACTTTTTTTCTTCAGAATCTTCCAGTAGACATCTAGAGTTTCGCTAGAAGTCTTGGCTACAATACAAACTGTGATGAAAAACACATGAGCAGCAACAAGTTTTAATCTTGCTTCTCAGTACAAACATGGGCTAATCTGTGGAAGCAGCTTATTCCAGTGTCACCAAGGGTGCAGCCACACAAGGCTCTGACGAAGAGTCCTTTTCTTTTAAATGTAACATCTTGTCTTTTCTTCTTAAAAAGTACCTGAGCACATTTACATTACAGATAAGCAGTACATGGTGGAAAATTCTACTTTCAAGAGGGCTTACTCTCTTCTTACAAGGTATGTTTTCATGTATTTTTTTCCTATGCCAGTATACATTTATTTTATAGTTAATATTATGGAGACATTATTATTGTTAATGTAAATGCTTATAAATTATATGATAAAGTTTAAAGTTGATCTGTATAATTTCTTTAAAAATCAGTACTTAATTACATATCAATCTAAAGTTACTACAGCTTTTTATATTTTATATATAAAAAATTTATTTTCAATATAATTGTGACTGTTTTGACAACTAAATAAAAGCCTGTCCTTATGCTTCACCAACAATGTTCACATGGCTGACTCTACAAATCATTTAAGCAAATATCTGTATCTTCTTTTAGGAAAATAACATTGTCTTAATAATTCGTGATTAGGAAGTATGAGAATATCACAAATACATTTTACCACAAATATTTTATTTACTATTTTATTAAATAAAACAGTAATATTTACTGTTTTATTAAATATTATTTACTGTTTTACTAAATAAAACAGTAAATAATTCTTTTGAAATGTAAAACTATGATTATTTTCTAATACATTTTTATATAGATGTATTCAAATGTCACTTTACTCATATTTGAATATTCCTATTTTCCCTTGATAAATGTCTTTCTTATTCTTCTGTAATGAAATGGCACTGCCCAGTTAGAATGGAAGTTATATAATGCCAAGAAAGAGTAATGCTCAGCAACAGTTTAGCTCTCTATTCAATATAAAAAATTAGGAACTTCTTTTCACAAAATCCATAAAGTCTGAATTTAAAACAAAGATTTCCTTTGTCTCATCCCAAAATAAAATTTTTATTAAATCTCAGATTTAAAAAATTAAGCAATGTATTTGATATTCTACTCCTTCCTAATTTGAATAGAGGAGAACATTCTTTCTTGTTCATCTATCAGATGTGTGACACCCATGAACTGTGGCCACATGTGTAGAATTAAATCATAAAGAAGTTTTAGGGTTCTATATGTCTCTCAAAATAAAGTACTTTCTACAGTTAATCCTACTGAGAATCACTGTTTAAAGAAAGAAATAAAAATAAATCAAAAGTGCATGTATACGTGAAAGTATCTTTTTATCTTGTTTGTTTTCAATATTTAGCAATATTGTATAGTGGTGGGCAGATGATGGAACTGCAGTTTTCTATTACAACTAACTACTGCTTATTAAAAAATATTAAAAAGGAATATTTGACACCTGATCTGAGATTTGAGGCAAGAGAGATTACTTTTATAAGCATAAGCCTTAAGGCACTATAGGAAACAGAGAAAAATGAAGAGGTAGGAGTTTTTGCTTTTTAAGACAGCAGGTAGATTGCTAGATGAACTGAAAAACTGATGAAGGACAAAAGAAAAGGCAGCCAGCAAGTTCTTTATTGAGATGCTATTTATACTTCTAAGATAAAGTTAATTATTTCTTTAAGAAAAGTATAATCTATAAAAAGTATCAGTTTCCATGACCAAAAGGTACTGTGAATAAGTTTCCAAATGCATGCCTAGATGTTAACCTTGTTCATTTATAAAGCCTCTGCCTTGATTACACCTGAATTTAATAGTCTGGATTCCATCTGTGAATGAACAGAATATGTTATATAACATTTATATACTGAAAACTACTGGCACTTGAGTACTGATAGAAATATTTCAGCCAAGGGGAAATGTTGCCAAACATGGAAGTTATAAGCACAGTGACTTATTTTCCTAATAATAGTGTCTAAGAGGAAATACCATTTCAGTTAGATAAATTTTCCACTCTAAGTTTGTGGAATGTTGAAGTGGAAAACAGGAGCTTATGCAAATTCATAAAGGCACTTCTTATCCTCATTTCCAGTCCTGAAAATAATGGGCAAACTTCTTACCCTGTGCTCTCTGAGGACAATTTGGCTACTATCTGGAAGTCACTGTGGGATGAGGACTTGGGAGGTGGCCACGCAGACAGTGCAGGGGTGAGGACGCTGGCCTCAGCTTCTTAAGATGTTAAAGAGGGCAATGGAAGAAAAGTCTCCAATATGCCATGGTTCAATCAATAACAGCATTAGTATCAAAGTAGTATTCCAAATATTATCCTGATTAAGAGAAACTTGAAACCAAAATCTACAGCTTTCCATGAATAAAAACCTTTGGCAACACTGGTCTAAACTGGGAAAATACTGAATCTTCCTGAGACCAAGACTTAAATACTGCCAAAATTAATCAAGTAAGAACTTGAGCCATATTAATACACTCAAAATTTAAAATAAGACAAACAACTAAAAGTTACATCATTTTAAATGAACTATTATTCTGTATATTCTTTCTGAAGATAGGGAAAAACCCATTACTATATAGTAATCTCTTCTGGAAATTTCAATATTTTTCTACTGGTTAAAAAAATTGCTAAAATAAAATAAGGTAAGGTTTGGGGTCTATAATCACTTGTACGTTATCAAGGGTTTATCATCTCAGATCAAGGGTATAAATGTTGAGTTCCTCATGGAATCAAGTTTCATCTGACTTCTCTTTTCAAGTAACCGGAATATGAGAATAAAAAATACAAGATTAATTTTACATAGCTAATAGAAGACAGAACTAGTAAGGAGAGATGAATATGCCAGAGGGCATTTTTGGTTTCAATATAAAGAATTTCCTATCAACCACTGATGGACAACAATGGAAACTGGATGCCTCTCCATGAGGTATGCTCCCTGATTCCTCTCACTGGAATTAAGCAAGCAGACAGTGAACGCACTCTCTGGTCCAGAGTGTTCTGGAGGAACCTCCAACACTAGAAGGAAGTTCAAACTAGATGACATTTCCTGCTTCCACAGGTCTCCTCCATCACTCACTAAGGGCTTGAGAAGGTATGACAAATCACTGCCTCCACCAGCCATCAACTGGAAAGCTTCCTAACTACCACATATGTGCCACTGTCTAAAGAGCAGGCCAGAGTCTCCACTTCATCTAAGGCAGGGAGGGTCTCACAAAACTATTTAGTGTAAAAAAAGAGTAGAGAAGGAAGAAAGGAAGAGAGGTGCCTCCTGACCCCATGGGTGAGCTGGTCAGAAGGAGGGGATATGGAAGAGAAACAACCCTACCCCAAAACACACAGCTTCTTTCTCCCTGCCCCTGTCATCTGTGCAACTGGCTTGTCTTTGTCCCTCCAGCTCTGCTCCTCTGTCATACCTACTCTGTTCCTTATCCTAGCCTGCATCCCATTCCAAGGCTCTCCTGGGTTACAGGACAACAAGACTACAGCAGGAAGCAAAAGGAAGGTAAGGTTTGCAGTGCTGAAGGCAAGTCCCTGTCTGCCGGGCCACAGGGAAAGCCTACGTGTTCTTGGTTTATTCCCATTTTGGCTAACACATTCTTCTTACATGTATTTTTAAAAGCTCTATGGTTTTATTAGGTCTGTATTTTCCCATATATAAGTGCTAAATACATTTTTCTGGTCTAGACTGGGAAACTACAACCCTTCAACCTCTAAGTTTCTACAAGAAAATACTGAAACTTAAACCACTAACCAACTCCAACAGTTTTTTTTGTTGTTGTTATCAAATTCCTCATCTCCCAGAGATTACAGTAAATGGGGTTAGGCCTCAGAAAATTGTAGTCCCAACCAATTTCCCAGATGGGTACTATTATTGGAATTTTGGGGGAACAGTAAGTGAAAAACCTTTAAATGCACTAAATGTCTCATGCTGTGTAAGTGGTAGAAAAAGGCCAAAATACAGGGAGGACCAAAGCAAATAGGAGGACCTATTTTTTTGCAGGCTAATATTAAAATATTTAGAAAGCAAGATAATTCTCCATTCATAATCCAACTACCCCTCTTTAATAGGTTTGTGTATTCTATTTCAATCTCTTTTTCACATGTGTCTACACTTGTTTTTTATAGATGTCTTTATTTCTACTGATCTCAAAGAGTAAGCTGAGGGCTATGAAGAGTAGACAGACTTATGGTGAAAATTTTACTTTCAGACTCAGAGAAGCACACATCTGGAGATTCCTCCAAGCTGATCCAATCACAGTTACACAGCACGGTTTACTTGTAGTTTAGTCCTATTTACTAACTTAAACATTTATTTTTTAGTTTTCCTATTAATTTACCTGACCAAGTATTAACTTTTATAAAGAGACTAGTACATTATGGGCTATGGCTTTGTTTTCTGAGCAGGGAAGAGTGCCCAGATGTGCTCCACTTCACAGATCCTAGTACCTGTCTGGTACACAGCAGGTAGATGATAGATGTCTACTGAAAAACTCCAGCAACCTCAAACAAAGCCAGAGATAGGATCTCAAATGACATTTCATTTAACAGCTTCTATGCCAAGATCAGAAAAGGTCAGGGCTGTCATGGCTCCAGAAAACATAGTTGAAATGCAGAACAATGTTAAAAATAATTTTTTTAAACATTGATATCAGGGATAAGCTTTGGTTTAGCTTCAAGGACTAAGAACTGAATTAGCTGAGAGTTTTGGGGGTCAAGGTAAAAACTAAGGACCAAGCATTTCTTGACCTTACACAAAGAAGTGTAAGGTCAAGAAACAATGTATAAAAGTTAGTCAGCCAAGAAGCAGAAATAATGTACCAGAGACAAAGTGATATTAGAAAAGAAGCCCAGCTGACACAAACTGCCAGCATTCCAGGAATACAGAATACTAACCTGCTTGTTTTCTGGTATGGCTGACAGAAGGTACTGGGCTTTGAGTTGCTAGCACAATCTCTCTTTGTACTATACAAATTTGACCACAGAACTACTCCCATTTCCACTCTCCCAATCCAAGCTATATGTGAGCCCCTTTCCGTATAGGTATGTACCAGAAAACAATGTGTAGACTGGCTGGAGGGAAAGATATGATAGAGTGTGCTTATGAGGCCACTAGATTTTGGAATAAAAGTAGAGTGCTCCCACATGGGCTGCATCAGAAAATACAGAGATTGGGTTGGGAAAAATGGACTCTAACTCGGGTTCCAATTTTCTTTGATCATGTGGTCTTAGGGAAGCCACTGAAGCTCTTTGCACAGCCCATTCCTCCAGATTAATGTAAGGGATGCATCTATAATAAATTCTGAACTGATACTTCCACAAGCCAATGCAGAGTTCTGAAATGGGATTTCAGAATAGAATTATTAAAATATAAAGAGTTTTTGCTATTCTCAGACATGTCCTATAATCTTCTTTCCTAGCACAACTGGGTGTGGGTTATCATAGGAAAACTTCATGTATTAATTAGGCTGATGACATCCAGCCACCCAGGTGGCAAAATGTTCATGTTGCCATTTAGAGTTCTAAGAATTAATGCTAACTCTCCTCTGGATTAAAAGACACACCACATATAAATAAATGTTTTAATTTAGTTATTTCACTTCTGATTCCTAAGTCCAGAAAAGGAGATGTTCAAGCTGATGTCTGGGTTCTGGGAAAGTATAAGCAGCTTGCATGACTCAAGGATGTGGGGGCCAGGTCTTTCTAAGGCTGGGCCAACTGCTGGCTAAGGTACTGTCTCTTGCTTAGGCATGGCAGGCCAGTGGCACTGCTGGGTGACCTGCCTGAGGACATCTGGGTGAGTGAATGAAAACAGGCATAAATCTTTTTTGGGTGATTTCATAAGCTTTAAAGTTTTGAAAATTACCAAGAATGTATGTTTTACAGGTAGCAGTTAAAAAATATGATAAGTAAACAAACTTGTGGGAATATCCACAATCAGATTAACAACAAAGCCATGTTCAGAAGGTTTTCTCTCATACATTCCAGTTTTGTATGAACTTTTAAAAATACAACTAAAAACAAATCTCCCCTATCAAGCCAAACAAACAGTATACAGTGGAAAGATGGGTAAGAAAGAATAGTCTGGACCTCAGGTGCTTTGGATCAGATATTAGATAATGGCACAGATTAGAGGAAGAAATTCAAATGACATTGTGGAAAAAATGACCAACCCTGAGACTGAGGCTGGGGGAGGGTGGTAGAAGACAGATTCATTAAAGAAAACTTCCAGATGTGTGCCAAGGGGACATGAAGATTTTACTTTGAAAATGACATAGATATTAAGGCCATGGAAGGATTTGGGAACAACCAGGTATGATGATCTGGTTTTATTTTTTAAAACATTTATTAGTTTCCTAAGTATAAAAGCTACACTTACTGCTCATTATAAAAGTTAAAAAAAAAAAGAAGACTCAAGAACTTATTCATTGTTCTACTACCCAGAGATTATAATCAATTAGGTATATTTGGGTCAGGGATTTTGTTTGTTCGGTATGTCTGAATTTTTTATATTTGTTTTTCATTTAAAAAAAATAACATTTTATATTTTTAAACATCTATGCAAATACCTGTGGGTTACAAAGTATTTCACGAATATACCCTATTTTAGTATTTCCACTTAACCACAACATTACCTTTAACTTTTTGCTATCATATATAATTCTATGATGAACATCTTTATGCACATCAGAATTATGTACTGTGACTAGATTCTAAAAAGTAATTACTACATGAAACAAAGATCATTTTAAAGCTTCTAATGCATACTGCTAAACTGCTTTTCAAAACGTTTTATAAATTTACTCTCACACTAGCAATGGAGAAGAATGACATTTCATTGTACTTTTGCCAGCTCTAAGAAATACGCAGTTGCAGAAATTGTATGTTTAATCCTTAATTTAATCTTCAATGTCTACTTAGTCATAGGACACAAGACAACATGAAGGAGTGTGTGCTCCTAGTATTCTTGGCTCTGTGCTCTGCCAAACCCTTATTTCGCCCTTCGTACATGATGCTGAAGAATATGATGCTGAAGGACATGGAAGATGAAGGTGATGCTGATGCTGATACTGACAACTCTCTTTTCCCAACCAGAGAGTCAATTAACCCTTTCTTCCCATTCAATCTGTTTCCAACCTGTCCGTTTGGATGCCAGTGCTACTCAAGAGTTGTACACTGTTCTGATCTAGGTAAGAACATGTCAACTTGTTGTGGAGAATAACATCATTCTGACAAAAATAAAAAGAAAAAGTCTTCATTGAAATTTCAAAAATCAACTCCATGAGTGTAAAAAAACCTTTTCATTTGAATTTCTGAAAGTATAACAAGCCCCAAAGTACATTCAAACTGATTTTAAAAATAATAGAAATTAGAGGAAAACAATGAGAATTTCATATATAGAACATTTCTTTCTCTTCCCAAAATTAAACCAAAGTGCTTCATTTTCATTTCCTTCAGAAAGAATGGATGTTATGGTAGTTTCTTCCCTCAGGATGTTAGCAGGAGGAGATTGTGTTTTTTAGTAAAATTCTACAATAACAAATTTAATCAACTGTTCAGGAGAATGAGTAAGTTATAGATTTATTGATGGTAGCCATTCTGGCAGGTGTGAGGTGATATCTCATTGTGGTTTTAATTAGCATTTCTCTGAGAATCAGTAATGTTGAGCATTTTCCCCCACATCTATGGGCCACCTGCATGTCATCTTTAGAGAAGTGTCTGGGTCCTTTGCCCATTTTTTAATCAGGTTATTTGTCTTCCTGAGATCATTAAAAACTTTTTAAAAATAGGTTACAGAGATGTGAAATCCCTAGTCTATGTATTTTAAAGACAATTCTCTATTTGAGTAATTTGAATTTAGAACTGTCTACAAAAGAAGTAAGTAAACTAAATTACTTTTTAAAATCTCTTAAAATGTGTAATTCTCTGCTGAGTATTTTATTTTTGAATACCTCTATTTAAGGTGTTTTCAAATAGAGGGACACACTTATAGCCTGCTCAAAAAGAGGATGTGTTGAAAATTTACATCAAGAGTAGCTATATTCACCTATTTCCAAAAGAGGGGATGACTCAAATCTGCCACATGGCAATAAACCAAGGTCTGACACAAATCTCCCATTCTGGAGCTGGTGGCCCATCAGGGCAACTTTCAGAGAGCACATGAGCATACAGTACCTCTGAAAGTTTTAGACTCACTTCCTACTGTTACAGAATTTGTGAAATTAGTGAAAGCTTGTTACAATACACTCTAGAGACAAAATGAGAGGGGTGAATAAAAAGCATTCAGGTAAAGATTATTAGATAAAATCAGTGGGAAAGTGTTAATGGAATATACAGGGCAGGAAAAAATGGGCTTTTAAGCCTTATTTTTGGCATTGGTGTGAACAAAAGATAAAGCAATACTTGAGAAAAGCTAGTTTGGAAGTGCATGGAGAATGAGTGTGGGAAGAGCAGCAGGAAGGAGAAATGAGGAAGCCGAGACAGACCCTAGTACAAGAAAAGGTTATAGTTAGGAAATATCAGAATGTACTGTCATTTCTAAGTTGCTTTCCAGGCAGGAAACAACTCTACCATCAGTTTGCAGAGTTAGACAAGTGAAAATACTTTGTAAAACTAAAACCACTACAAACATGTACATATGTACTTTGACACAGGTAGGTACGCATGAACGTGAGTAAGGAGAGGTTCATCTTTAGCACAGGCCATCCTTATGCGACGGCCTTCATATTTGCTCCAGAGCAAAGTTATCTGCCTCCACACAAAGATTTTGGAGAAATATTACATAGCTCTGCTCTAATACACAACTGTCATGAAAGAATTGAGAAAAACCAAACTATCTTATGATAGACAGCTGTTGTAAATCATGTTTTCCTGAATATTTATCTTATAAAATAACAATAGACTCAACAAAATATGTACTGATACATACCTTTAAATGATATCTCACCATGAGCAGTGTATACTGTACCTCCCCCATGACCACTGACAATGAAAAGGTTTGGATACTTGTTGCTCTTTCTCCCCAAGAAAAATAAAATTCTTTCCAGAGCACCTAATTTCACCAGGGGTAGGGAAAGTTTTATCAAAGTTTATGTTATCAGGCTCTTCTGAAGGACTTCCAGCTTCCTATGAGACCTTCCGCTTCATTTTCCAAAATAAAAACAATGTCCTAACAAAACTGCTACTGTTAGCCCATCAACTTACTAACCCCCTTTTCCTTTTACATATTCTATGGTAAAACTTCTCAAAAGAGTTGTCAGTCTTAAAGTATGGAGGGAAGGCTGTGAAGTATTGATAGCCACAGTATTTAGGCATGGAATTCTTCAACTGGGACTACTAAATATAACACTACTTTTAAGGAGTAAAGATGGCTCCACCAAAAGTGTGCCAATATCTGAAACTCACTTTAAAATGCATAAAAAAGATGAGATAATGGACAGTTCGTACAGTAAAATGTTGACGGTAGACAAAGAATATGGGTTTTCACTGTAAAATTATGCTTTTCTGAATGTCACATTAAAACAATAAAATATTGGGAGAAAACAAGGCCCCATACTCATCAAGCATTAACTATAGGGTGGGAAATCTGACAACAAGTAGGGGTGGGCATGTTCAGCCATCTAGAAAAAGCAAAAAAGGTAAGGAACAAATGGAGTATGTACAGATCATGGTAATTTTCTCCTTTTGTTTTTTTATTCAAGAGGAAAAAATATATTTAAGTCTTTTAAAATAAATTAATTAATATTTATTGAGTGCCTACACATAGAAGATGTAGTTGTACCTTAATTTAAGATGACAGAAAAGGAAACTATTCTTGTACCTGCAAAGAGGAATGGTGACTAATAGGTGGGCTCAGGTAACTTGAAACTGGAGCATATGGCTGAAAAAGAATCAAAGCTGTGGATGATAAATTCACTAAAGCTATACTTACTGCACACTTAGATATCAACAATAACTTATAGGTGAATAAGTTTTTGCAAATGAAATAAATAATTTACAACTTATTAGAGAAGTTCATTATTAAAGAAAATGGACAGTAAATTTTTGATAATATGTATGAGAATAATGTAATTCATCTATTTGTCTAAGCAAAATGTTATATATATTTGGCTTCTTAAAATGATCGAAGCCCACAGGCTCCAATTCAGTACCACAACACACTGAAAATGTACAAAGAACTTTAATGTTCATCAGCCAAAAGTGCATCAGCAGAAGCTGTGCCTCAGCTGTTGATCACTTTCTGCCAGTCCTAATTGCCAGGCTGCAGCTTACCTCTATTTCATGCCACCTGCAGCAGATGAACAGTGTTGGCTAGCCCCAGCTAAACACATTGTAAAAATAAAATACTGAAAAAGACCTTCAGGCCTTTCTAAAGAACAATACTTTTGTCATATGTTACATATTAAGTCATCTGCTACTGACTGATAACCATGAATTTTTAACAAATTCATATTTCTAACATATTTGATTCACCTCATCAGCATATAAAGCATGTGTAACATGTTTGTTTCTTTCTCAGGTTTGTCCTCCGTCCCAAGCAACATTCCATTTGATACTCGAATGGTTGACCTTCAAAACAATAAAATTAAGGAAATCAAAGAAAATGATTTTAAAGGACTCTCTTCACTTTATGTAAGAATATATGTTAATATTTTCAAATATTAAGTGAAAATCTCTATCACTACTAATAATTACTAGTAAGACTTGTTCAATTACTAGTAAGACTTGTTCCTGTAAACAAGTCTTACTAGTTCATGTAAACAAGTCTTACTTTTCTGTGTGTAAAGAATGACAAATGCCTGCCATTTGGGGTGTTCTAGTTAATAAACAATTATAGACTTAATTTAATTAATAATTTAATTCCATTCATGTTTATTGAATAATACCCGTGTGAAAGGCAGTGGGTCAAATTTAAGTAAATGGTCCTTAAATAAGCTTATGATCTATTTAGGTAATCATAGTCACTACTCAATAAAATGAGTCAGATTATGATTATTTACAAGAACTCATCATACAGATTTAAGAAAATCTGTACCTGAACCAAGTGATTTATCTTAAGGCACCACAAATGCCTAACAGTAGCACATGCAATATAGTAAACTGACTAATATATGCTTGTATGGCATTTTTTCTAGATTTTTAAAGATGAAAAATTTTTATTATATTTATTAATATTTTAATTTTTAAGATTTAAAAGATTACTGTTTCTTTTTAACATTTTGAGCCTCTAGATTTTAGCAAGTAAAATTTCTAATGTAATTTGGAATTAAGTTTGAGGGAGAGCCTGATTCCATACTGTCACAGCATTGGTGTCATCTCTTCCCTTCAGTGGGTTTAAGCCAGTACTGTTCTTTCAGCCACCCTCCACATTCTCATGCTATGCTGGAGAGAGGAAACACAAAAGCTGTCAACTGCAGTGAAGGGTTATCTGTAATAGGAGAAGGTAGAGACACCATGACCATCTTTCTTTTTTTTTATTTTTATTTAATTATTTTTCAAGTACAGTTCTGTCTATTACTCCCATCCCAGCCCACCCCACCATGTGCTCCCCACCTCCCTCCCATTTCCACCCTCCTTAGTTGTTGTCCATGTGTCCTTTATACTTGTTCCTCTAAATCCCTCCCCTATTTCCCCTGAAATTCCCTCCCCTCTCCTCTCTGGTCACTGTCCCCCTGTTTTCTATTTCAGTGTCTTTGTTTTTATTTTGCTTGCTTATTTGTTTTGTTGTTTAGCTTCCTGTTAAAGGTGAGATCATACGGTATTTGTCTTTCAACCCCTGGCTTATTTCACTCAGCATAATGCTCTCCAGTTCCATCCATGCTGTTGCAAAGGGTAGTAGTTCCTTCTTTCTCTCTGCTGCATAGAATTCCATTGTGTATATGTACCATAACTTTTTTTAAAACTTTTTTATTGATTATGCCATTATATTTGTTCTATTCCCCCCCTCCATTCCCCTCCACCCTGCACACCCCTCCCCCACCATTTCCCCCTTTAGTTCATGAACACGTGTCTCAAATTCTTTAGATTCTGTATTTCCCCTACTATTCTTACCCTCCCCCTATCTATTTTCTATCTACTATCTATGCTACTTATTTTCTGTACCTTCTCCCCCCTTCTCCTCCTCCCACTCCCCTATTGCTAACCCTTCATGTGATCTTCATTTCTATGGTTCTGCTACTGATCTAGCTGTCCTCTTAGTTTGCTTTTGTTTTAGGTGTGATTGTTACTAACTGAGTTTGCTGTCCTTTCACTGTTCATCTTTTTTATCTTCTTTTTCTTAGGTAAGTCCCTTTAACATTTCATATAATAAGGGCTTGGTGATGATGAACTCCTTGAATTTGGTCTTATCTGAGAAGCACTTTATCTGTCCTTCCATTCTAAATGAAAACTTTGCTGGGTAGAGCAATCTTGGTTGTAGGTCTTTGGATTTCATGACTTGGAATACCTCTTTGCAGCCCCTTCTTGCCTGTAAGGTCTCTTTTGAGAAATCAGCTAACAGTCTGATGGGAACTCCTTTGTAGGTGACTGTCCCCTTAGCTCTTGCTGCTTCTAGGATTCTCTCCTTCATTTTAATTTTGGCTAATGTAATTACGATGTGCTTTGGTGTGTTCCTTCTTGGGTCCAACTTCTTTGGGACTCTCTGAGCTTCCTGGATTTCCTGGAAGTCTATTTCCTTTGCCATCTTGGGGAAATTCTCCTTTATTATTTGTTCAAATAAGTTTTCCACTGGTGGCTGTGACTTTCCCCCTTCTGGTACCCCTATAATTCGGATGTTGGAACGTTTAAAGATGTCCTGGAGGTTCCTAAGCTTCTCCTCATTTTTCTGAATTCTTATTTCTTCATTCTTTTCTGTTTGATCATTTTTTTCTTCCTTCTGGTCCGCTCCCTTGATTTGAGTCCCAATTTCCTTTCCATTACTATTGGTTTCCTTTGTATTACCATTCATTTCAATTAGCTTAGCTTCCATATGTTTCTCTAATTTGTGACTAAAATCAACCAGTTCTGTAAGGATCCTGATAACCAGTGTTTTGAACTGTGCATCTGAAAGTTTGGCTATTTCTTCATCGCTTAGATCTATCGGTTCTGGGGCTCTGAGTTGTCCTAGAGCCATTTTTGGTCTATTCGTGCCATTAAGTAAGCGGAGCAAAGCCTTAGTTGTTTACCAGGATGGGGCGACCCAGGTCGCTGGTTTGTGACGCTGTGTGTGGGGGCGTGATCAGAGAGGGAGCAGTGGCGGTCCTCTCCGCTAGCCCAGTCCGTCCAGTCACACCACTCGCCCTGGGCCTGTTTATCCGATCAGAATTGTGCGAGCCTGCTGCCCCGCGCAGGCTTCCCCTCTCACTGGTTTATCTGCACGCAGATGCGCGACCGACCGACCGCAGACAGCCCGCTGCGCCTCTTCCCTGTGTGCTCCCGTAGCTAGCCCGCGATCAGCGCCTTCGGCTGTTTGCCCGCCGCGCACCACCCGGGGATTTTTTCTTGCCAACCTGCTCCGCTGCTGGCTTCACTTCTCTTACCAGTTTAGCTGAGCATTTAGTTGTCTTTGGACTCCGTATTGTCAATTTTCTGTGTGGCTTGGTTGTGTTTATTGTTGCTAAAAATAGTTGTTCTTAGATTTGGTTGTGCACAGAGGCAAGGTGGTTCCACCTACGTCTCCATCTTGGCGGAAGTCCATAATTTTTTGATCCATTCATTTACTGATGGGTACCTAGATTGCTTCTAACTCTTGGCTATTGTAAATTGTGCTGCTATGAACCTTGTGGTGCATAGGTTCTTTGAAATTGAAGTTTTAGGATTCTTAGGATATAATCCCAGCAGTGGAATTGCTGGGTCAAAAGGCAGGTCGAATTTTATTTTTCTGAGAAAATTCCATACTGTTTTCCATAATGGTTGTACCAGATTGCAATCCCACCAACAGTGAACTAGGGTCCCCTTTTCCCCACAACCTCTCCAACATTTGTTGTTTGTTGCTTTGTTTATGATAGACATTCTGATTGGTATAAAGTAGTATCTCATTGTAGTTTTAATTTGCATCTCTCTGATAGCTAGCGATATTGAGCATCTTTTTACGTGTCTCTGGATCCTCTGTATGACCACCTTTCTTGCTACCAGCCAAGTAGGCCTGTTATCTTTCTGAATCTAAAAGACTTGAGCCACCCTGCCTACCAGTTACCCTGGGGTCAGTGCATGGACCATACTGACTTATCCCAGCAGACAGGAAAAGGGGACTGTTGAGTCCCATTATGCAAACCAGTGTCTATGTGTCAGCTGGATGAGCAAGGACAATCAAGCTGATTGTGTTCTAGGCACCTGGAGGTATACTATTTCCTAGGCTCTCTAGCTCAGCCCTCTTGCCTGGAAAAGGTGGCCCCTGTGGGGAGCCAAGTCAGCCTCCCTGCAAAGCCATTCTCTTCTTTGCACTTCCAGGCATCTGGGCTCGTGGGACCCTGATTGCTCCCTTCCCTTTTAAATGTCCTATGTAGAGAGGTCAAATCTGGTTAAGCTCCATATATACCATAACACACACACACACACACACACACACACACACACAGGAAGAGAGCGAGAACCTGGAAGAGTATATACTTATTGCATAAGTGAGGACTCACTTAAATATTGAGATAATAGAAATATAAATAGCACAATGGATTCCTTCAAGGATCCATCCAGTCCACCCTATTCACTTCAGACCACAGAAACTTCTGGAGAATGGCAAGGCCATTATTCTAAACTTATAAGTTGGAAATATAACCTATGAGTGCTCCTACCACTTCTTCAATCTATATTCAGCTATATACCACAAGAATAATTAATGCCATATTTAATACCAAAATCATAAAAAAACTTTTTCATTTGTCACATCATTATTTATCACATGTCAGAAGTAATACAGGGACTTAGTCCACATGTAGTCCTGTTAATCATTGGTAAATAAAAATTGAGAAGATGACAGGAGCTGTCTTGGGCCTCCTTCATTTCCTTTTTAGTCCATTTCTATGTGGCACTGTACTGGAAGGTAAGGCTTCCACAGTCAGGCACGCCTGGCTCAGATCTGGGCTCCACCAAAAGTGCACTGGGGAATGTAGCTCACCTCTCTGAGCCCAACCTTTTTAGCTGTAAAAGGGCTGTAACAAAAGCAGTGAACTCAGAATGTTTATTTACACTAGATGAGTGAATACATATAAGGTGCCCAGCATGCAACCATTAACTATTATTGCCACCAGCCTAGTGTTTCTGGACTGGCCAATGTCTTAATGTAAAATACTTTAAAAAAAAGATTTTATTTCTTTATTTTTTAGAGAGGGGAAGGGAAGGGGAAAGAGAGGTAGAGAAACATCAACGTGTGGCTGCCTGTTGGGACCTGACCTGCAACCCGGGCATGTGCCCTGACTGGAATCGAACTGGTGACCCTTTGGTTTGCAGGCTGGCATTCAACCACTGAGTGGGCTAAAGTACTTTTTAAAGCACATACGTTATACTGGAATTGTGGGCATTTTGTATATTTCAAAACATTTATTTAATTATGTCATCAGTACCTGTCTTTAAAGAGAGTCAAAAATTTTTTTAGATACTCTATAAATTCTCTATATTATGTTTGAGCTGCTTGTTTACCATTGTGGTTCTTACACAAAGGACAATACAAGCATTAAAGAATGAGTGAGATCATTACACAAACATACACTCAAACAGTTCACTTCCAGCCCATTATTGATGGATGTTAAGCCATCTTCATCATATTGTCCTACTCCTGAAAGGCTATATTTTTCTCTCTGCAAGCCTCATATAGAACAACATTGTTTGGAGCTCTGTGACTGTCACTTTTGGAACTTTTATGTAAAAGCCAACACTAAAAAGTACAGCTTCACTGGAGAGAGTCTGCTCACCTAACTTGCTGAGGCAGTCTTTAATGACACTACATTAAAAACTCTTATCCCATTTTATAATACTCATACTTCCTTTTATGAAGCTCTGACAACTGCATGTCTTAATCAGAGGGGTAAAAAAGACCAACCCCAAACCCCAGACATGATGGTTGGCTCTACTGAGGCATACATTTCCTTTGGGGCCCTGCAGTTCCAGCCTACAGGAACTGCACGCAACAGGAAGAGCAAAGTGTGGAGGGTGGAGAGGCTGGGCCAGATAGGAGGCAAATCACTTTTCTTCACTTGTGTGCATTTCCTCATTACTAAAAGGAAAGAAACAATTCTTTTGTTATATTAACCTCATGGGGTTGAGTGAAGGTTCACCAATTTGTTATGCACACCCTGTCTCCACCCCCAACACTGAGTTCCACATTTCAGCATATCCAAAGGAAAGAAGAACTCTTAATTGGTATCAAAGATTCAGAAAGGAGTATATTTTACCATTTAGTAACTAAAATGTAGTTTTCACCTCTTCTCCCAGGCTTACCTTTTCCCAGGTAAAATTTTTAATAGTGGTGATATGTCTGAAAGAAGGGCAAGAAAAGGGAGAAGCAAAGTGCCTACAGGGAAATGAGTAAATATAATAGAGTTTAACTGCCAAAGCATTTTTTTGTATTTCTTCTGTGCAATAACAACATGAATGACACTGGAAAAGCATATTAACATAATGTGAAAACAAGGGGAAGATTGCTGTAGGATGGGACTGGGACAAAATTCATAAATGCAAAGAATCTAGAGCTGCTCCCTGATAGATTAGTAGGGAGAGATAAAAATCCTAAGGAAGCTAAGCCACCTGCCATCACCCTGGGGAAACATTTGCAAAATCTAGTAGTAAAACAAGGACTAAGCTATGTTCATTTTGCAATGAAAATAATTACTAGGGTGACTGACAAGTCCTGGTTGCCAAGAACTTTCCCAGTTTTGGTTCTGAAATTTACACATCCTAGGGGACCAAGAGTGTGGTAGTCAGCACCCTCATCAGGGCACAGAGGGTTTGACTGTCAGGAATGCAGAAGTCTGATGCTGTAAGTTTTCACTGTCAGGGCTGTTGTCACCTTTAAAAGGTGCTGCCACAACACACTGAGAAATAACCAGTAAAGTGAGGAAGGGTTGAGTCATTCTTCAAGTCTCACCACTGCTTCCCCAATGTTTTAAATATGTCTGAGGGCACTTTGTAGGAGTTTATTTTGACAGGTCTATATTCTAAGAAAAATGGCAAACATTAGGAAACATGAAAAAAATGTGGTTAAACTTAATTATGCAGAGTGAACAAACTTTAAGGTAAAATAAAAATAATACTACCAACCACTTCTATAAAAGGAAGTAGAAACAGAAGGGTGCCTCAACCATGAGAACATATCACCTACTCAAAGATAAACCAAAGGCACAAAAACAATCATTAAAGCTTTGCACTGTTCCAACTAAGTAGTAAAAAGGAAAAAAAATATATATATATAGAGAGAGAGAGAGTTTAGATTAGGCTGAGAAATTATTTAAATGATTAATCAAGTATACAAAATGACCTAACTTGCACTGATTTCCATGAGTGACTAATCACTGTATAATACTGGTAAATCAATCCACTTCCTAATATGGTATAACTTTTTATGCTTCATCTAGGCTTTGATCCTGAACAACAACAAGCTAACAAAGATTCACCCAAAAGCCTTTCTAACCACAAAAAAGTTGAGAAGACTATACTTGTCCCACAATCAACTAAATGAAATACCACTTAATCTTCCCAAATCATTAGCAGAACTCAGAATTCATGATAATAAAGTTAAGAAAATACAAAAGGAAACATTCAAAGGAATGAATGCTTTACATGTTCTGGGTAAGTTTTTGCAAATAAATGAGACATTCAGAAATTATAATTTATATACAGAGGTAGAGATTTTTTATCATCATTAACCACTTTTAAGACTGATAATTTCCAAAATTAATTATTTTTAAAAACCCTCACCTGATGACATGCTTATTAATTTTAGAGAGAGAGGAAGAGAGATGGATAAAAAGAGAGTGAGAGAGAGAAACTTTAATCAGTTGCCTCCAGAACATGCCCTGACCTGAGATTGAACCCATAATCTTTTGGTGCAGGGGAGTTCCAACTAACTGAGCAACCTGGCTGGGACCCCAAATTAAACTTTTGAACCTAATAATCTTTACTGAGATAAGCCATTTGCAAATCAATTAAAACATTAAAATTTATAGCACTAAAAGATGCCTTTTGTAATACACACACATATGAACTTTCAAGACTCCCCCCTCTTAAATATTTAGTGTAGTTTCTGGTTTCTGCCCCTTCATTGGATAAATCTGTTATTATTAAATTTAAAGGTAGTATTTTTAATGTATTGTACAAAGTACTCAAACACAATGTAGAAAATTAATTCAGATATTGTCTGGAATGTACACTTAACTTTTCATTATCTGCTTTAAGATTATTGAGCTAAAAATTCTTTTGTTGTATATGTTAAATTATACCCTATTTTACTTTTAACACTCATGGAATGCCATCTCCTCCAACAATATATATTCAAAATTCCTAACCAATATTCTCATTCATTTATTCATTTATTTAATTCAATCAGCATCAGTTACTGGCATTTCCTAAGTTTTATTTCTGTTAATAAGTAACAGTTTATATTGACTTATAATTTTAAAAGTTTAGGTAACAAATTAATGTATACTGGCAAATACAAATATTTTGAATTATATGTAGGATGATCTGTTTTTTTCTAATGTAATATTACAATGAATCCTTGAGCATGCTTATGGTTGGAAGAGAGTGATAATTTGTTAATTTAGTAATTCAAAGCAAAACAGTAAACCTGTTATCTTTGCCATCTTTTTCCAGGCTGACAAAAAGGTGAGTAAACATCGAAACAGAAATGAGTCTAAACAATTCTTCTGTTTTTTGGGATGTGTATCTCTCTGCATTGTGAGTTTCATTCTAGTAAAACATATGTATGCTAATTTATGTAATTCCCTCCTCCCCACAGAGATGAGTGCAAACCCTCTTGACAGCAATGGGATTGAGCCAGGGGCATTTGAAGGGGTGACAGTGTTGCATATCAGAATTGCAGAGGCAAAACTAACTTCAATTCCTAAAGGTTTGTGTTACTTTATTTAAGATAAAGTGTTTTTTTTTATTTCATCCTTAAATAACCATTAAATATAATGTTGTAAACTGTTTGCACTGTAAAAATCACACTATAATTAGAACCTTTTTTTACCAGTCTATCTGGTCAGTGTAGTGTGAAAGTGAGTGTTTTCTTATATACACTGTAAAGGGCCATATATAGTACTTTTTTTTTTGGTTAGTATGACACCAGTATCTTTTTTTCCCCCAAGTGAGAAGAAACATTAAGAAGAAATAAACCACTTATTTTCCTTCTCTTTCCTGATATTTACTCATCTATACTTTGTCATTCTTTGAAGTACCTATTACAGGTGAAAATTCTGTAGAGAAACAAAGGAAGATGCACAGGGCCACAAATTCTTGTCCCAGCCAAGCTGCAGTGGTTTGCCAGGGTTACCCCATTAGGCTAGATTGGGACAGAAGCCAGCTTTGGCAGGGATGAGTGTGAACTCGGGCCAAGGGGTTTGTTTGTTTGTTTCTTTTCAAAGTTGTGCAGATTAATGAGCCAATGCACAGAAAGGTCGGAGGACAATGTTGAGGACTTGGTAAACATCTTCTTGTGACTTAACTATTACCAGAATGAGTACCATACTCTCTATCATGTGACTTGAACCTGGCACCTAAAAGTAAATGTTTCTTAAGTTTGCAACTGGGCCAATTTCCTAATATATTACTCTAAGCTCCTGATCTGATGATTACCTACATAGGATTGCCTTTCTTAGGACCATGGTCATTCTTGCTTTCTCCTCCCTGATAAGGACATTCTCTCTCTCTCTCTGCTGTAATAACTACCTTGATCAGAAATAACCCCTATGGTAAATATTTTTCTTTCACACAGCTCTGCCATTCAGCATCCATAGTAAAAGCAGCAAATTAACCATAATCCCTTTTCTCCTAACCTCATTAGAAAATTAATAAGACAAATGTAACCGATCATTTTAAAGATGCAGCAGAGCTGCTATTATTAATGAAGTGATGATCTTTTTCTTGGCAGAAAAGTCAACTAAAGTAAAAAGGGAAAGAATTTTTTAATACAGAAAAGAATCAGTTTAATTCAGAACTACACAAATTAAAAACCAGTTTAATTTAGCTTTCAAAGAGGTGGCTGTTTTTCTAAAATGTTACATAGTTTACCTTCTTATCTTTAGAACAAGAAAAATATAAACTGTACCTAACAAGTTAAATATATACAGTCCCTTACATATGCTGTAAGCAACACTGGGAGAACAGTAATAGGGTAGGCCAAGCAGAGAGAGTAGACGGCTCTGCCCAAGAGCTGTGGGTCAGATGCACCCTGCAACTATCAGTGCTCTTTAGACTTGCAACAGCAGTCTTTCCTATATTGCAAAACATACTGACTCCAATTCTCTTCAAGTTTCAAAGAGTATCTTAAAAATGAAGGTTTAAATTCTCTAGTTTCTTGTAATACCTACAGGAAGATTTTATGTATTTAGAAATTCAAATTAAAATAAAATCTCTTTAACTTACATAACTATCCCTTCAAGATCCCTATGACATTCAAAATCCAGTTAAGTTTTTGTTTTTTTGTTTTGTTTTTTTTTTACAACTTATTTGCTAAAATGTAAAAGCCCTGACTTTTGGTCAAGATGAAGGCATAGGCAGATAGACTTAGCCTCCTCGCACAACCATAAGAAGGATCACAAGTAATCCCAAAGCAAAATATAACTAGAACTGCCAGAAAATCGAACTGTATGGAAATCTGAAAACTGAGGATTTGAAGAAGCCACATTCATCCAGATGGGTAGAAGGGGTGAAAATGAGGAGCTAGGTGGAGACGATTCTGTGTAGTGATGGTAGTGAGGCAGCAGCAGTGGTCAGCAGCAGAATGGGCAGTCCCACATTCACTTGTGGCAGATAAAACCCAGGAGGGACACCTGGGGAGTGAGACATTGCAGCCCCAGGCCACAATGCACAGCCCAGGGTTCCAGGGCCAGGATAATAAAGACTCATAACTTCTGGCCATAAAAACCAGTGGGGGTTGGGGCGGCAGCAGAAACTTCAGGTTCTTAAGGAGACTCCATTTAAAAGAACCACACAGCCCTAGAACATATGCAAACCTACCCACTCTGGGACTCAGCACCAGGGCAGCAGCTAGAAGGATGTCAGTTGCATACAGGAAGTAGAATAACTGACTGGAAACAGAGCAAAAGCAGAGCAAGTGGCATTGTTCCCTCACAAATCCCTCCCCTACATACTGAGCCACAAAGCTACAAAGCGGATTGCCCCACCCTGGCAATTACTTAAGGTTCTGCCCCCTACAACGTAACCGGTGTGCCAAGATGGAGTCAAGCAGCTCTATCCAATACTTAGAAGCAAACACAGAGAGGCTGCCAAATTGAGGAGACAAAGAAATATGGCCCAAATGAAAGAACAGATCAAAACTCTAGAAAAAAAGCTAAGCAAAAGAGATAAACAACATATCAGATGCAGAGTTCAAAACACTGGTGATAAGGATGCTTAGAATTCTCACTGAGTACAGAAAATGCACAAGGGAAACAATCAAGGCTACACTAAGTGAAATAAAGAAATAGCCAAAAGGAACCAACAGTGAAGGGAAGGAAGCCAGGGTTCAAAACAAAAATTTGGAACACATGGAAGAAATAAATAGTCAACCACTATGGAATGAAGAAATAAGACTTCAAAAAAAATTACAGTATAAGAAGGCTCTGGGACATCTCCAAGCATGCCAACATCCAAATCATATGGATGCCATAAAGAGAAAAGGAAGAGCAAGAAATGGAAAACTTAGTTGAAAAAACAATGAAAGAAAATCTCCCTAATTTGGCAAAGGAAATAAACACACAAGTCTAGGAAACACACAGAGTCCTAAATAAGTTAGACCCTAAGATGGCAACAACGAAACACATCAGAACTAAAATGCCAAATGTTAAAGATAAAGAGAAAATCTTTAAAGCAGCAAGGAGTTCCCATAAGACTGTCTGCTGATTTCTCAAAAGAAACCTTGCAGGAAAGAAGGGACTGGTGAGAAGTATTCAAAGTGATGAAAAGCAAGGATCTATAACCAAGATTACTCTATCCAGCAACAGTATAATTTAGAATGGAAGAGCAGATAAAGTGCTTCCTAGACAAAGGAAAACTAAAGGAGTTCATCAACACCAAGACATTATTATATGAAATGTTAAAGGAACTAAAGAAAAAGATAAAAACTATGAACATTAAAATGACAATAAACTTAAAACAATCAACAACTGAACCTAGAAATACAAAAACAAAAACAAACTTAGCAAACAACTAAAACAGGAACAAAATCATAGAAATGGAGATCACATGGAGGGTTATCAGCAGGGGCAAGGAATGGGGAAAAAGGTATAGAGATTAAAAAGCATAAATGGTAGGTACATAGTAGACAGAGGGAGGTTAAGAATAGCATAGGAAATGAGAAGTCTAAAACTTATGGACATGAACTAAGGGAGGGATTGCTGGAGGGAAGGGGGGGTACCAGGCAGAAAGGGGCAAAGGAAAAATCTTGGGACAACTGTAATAGCATAGTCAATAAAACATATTTTAGAAAAATAAGTTTGGGATCATAGCATGAATAAGCTTTTGAGGAACAGACCTACATATAACAGGTATATGTGGGGAAAAAAATGTAAAGGCTGGCTCCTTAAATGTTATAAAACAATGATTACTACACTTGGCAGGATGAATTAGGACCCAAGAGTCCTTACCAGACCTGACAAGTTAATATATAGAGAAAAATGTTTTCCTTCCTATCCATTTGGAAAATTCTACTTCATAACAGTGTTGTGTGGAGGTGGGAGAGAGATCTGTTTGAAGGTAGACTAGGAATAGAAATAGGTGTATAAAAGTATGAGAATACTTGTTGGCAGCCAGTGAGCTTCTACCAAAATCCAAATCTTTGCTCATTTGTCTCGCAAAGGCTACACTTTTGTGCAAAGGCCTTAGAGAGAAGTTCTGTCAAGTTTTACAAACCCAAAAAATTTTCTTGACTCCTCAACATGAACAGATACTTTTCTCTTCTTTGACTTGCTACAGCATATTCTAGAATAGGCTGGTAAACATTATGAAATGTTTCTAGTGATTTTTGTATGCATGATGGATTTGCTCAACTAATATAAAGGTCTTTGAAAAGAAAACCCTTTCTTTTACATATTGAAGTAAATATCTAGTCATTCTGTAAATGCAACTAGACTAATCGGAATTTAAGAAATTAGAACCTTATCAGCTTAGAATTATTTTTCTACTCTCCAGTTTATTTCTAAAATTCAAAGTAGACTCTGAAATCAACATAAGTTCAGTCATTAAGAATATGATATTTATAAGGATGCTTCAATTACCTTCATCAGTCTTTATCACTAATATAGGAAGGAAGAATGTTTTAGCAAGAGTTGAAAAAACAAAGAACACTTTCCTGAGCTAGTAAACTACAACCTTTGGTTGACAAATAACACTTTAAGTTTTCAATACTAGGTATTACATATACAGGTCCTATATAGGACTAAGAAAATGAAATCTGAGTAAATTTTCTAGTTAGTCTCTTATATTCCTGTTTCAGTTAATCTAGGGAGAATTGGGGGGTCAGAACATGCATGTGTAAGAAGAGAAGACACAAACATTCAAAGGGCACCTGGCATGTGCCAGGTGGTGCTGGCAAATTAAGGAATTAAGAAATGCCCTTTTAATTTATGCAACTACTACTAATTGAAAAGAATAAATTCTGCAATGAATTACATATCAAAAAGATTAAAAATCCATGTGTTCAGTGATATTTTTATAATGTTTTGTTTATACTGTTATTGTTGCCCCAGTTTTTTCCCCCTTCACCTGACTGCCCCCATTTCCACAGTCAATCCCCACACCATTGTCCATTTCTATGGGTCCTTCATACATGTTCCTTGACTAATCAATTCACCTTCTTTCAAACAGTACCCATCTCCACCCTCTTACCACTGTCAGTTCATTCCATGT